TGGCTCTGCAGGACTCAAATGCATGGTGAGAGATGGTGTTCTGTGAGCGCAGCATCCCTGGCAGCCCTGAGCAGGAGACCAGGGAGGTCACCAGTCTGCTCATCCAACACACAGAGTCAGGGTTTTCAAGAGTTTTGATAGCTTAGAAAATCTTGATTCATTTTTGTTTTAAGGGTATAGAATCTGAAAGAAACCAGATGTTGCTATAAAGATGGAGAAGAGCAGCAGGGGCGGGCACCTACATACTGTACAGCAAGAGCTAAAAAGAAGTAAGCACTTTTAGAAGGAGTTAATAATTCCAGTCTGGATTTTTCAGGAGGAAGAAAGGCCTGTACTCATTATTTTCCTCCTCCTCCTCCTTTAATTCATAGTGTGTACCTATCTCAGGGAAGGCAACTGCAGAGAAGTGGGGGCAATAACAACATGCAAACCAACAGACGAAACTACCACATCCAAGATATTTTTGTCTCCATCCTCAAGTCATTTCATTCTTGTCAAACTCCTTCACTTCAACACACTTTCTAGCTCTGTATCCCAATTACAAATGATCTGCACAACCAGTCTTGGCCTGGATTCTAGAAGAACAGTTACCCTCACCTCATATCAAGGGCAAAACCAACAGGCAACTCAGAGATCATCCTAAGAACCTCATAAAACAAAGATTTTTATCCTGTATCCCTGGTGCCAACTCCAACCATGGCATTGATGCACAGGTCCATGGAAGATGTGAGGGTTCTGCATCCTCTAATCATAGGATATAATTATGGATATCATCCTTGTTATTTCCCATTCTCTTCCCAATCAAGGCTCCCTGACTCATAGTCCATTTGAGTTACATGGAGGCTGAATTCCTTACTATGACCACAGTTTACTATCTTGCAAGGCACTGTATACTTACAGGCAACCACAGTAGGAGAAAGGCATATGCCAAAATGGGTGATTTGAGAACTAATACTTTGGGTAATCCTCACAAAATCCTCCAAATAAATCAACAATTCACTGAACAATTTACAAGAGGAAATTTGCGATTTATAAAGCATATAGTTTCTGACCCATAGTTGAGTGCTTTGAGGCTACACTGAAATTCTCCACAAGAAATCATGCATGCACAGCTTCATCATCTCAAAGACTACAAACATATTTGATCTTTCTACTATGAACTATGTTCATTTCCACATAAAACATGTGCTTCCCTGCTGAGATGACCAAATGGGTGAAAGAAAAATAATCTCCTACCACCCATCTCTAATGCAGAGTATCCAAGTCAGAGACATCATTTCTCTCCTTTACCCCTGACCTGGAAAAGTACAGATGAGGGTGGGCTATCTCACAAACCATGTGAGAAATCCATGTGCCTAACTGTCCTGAGCAAAGACAGAGTGGCAGGGTGCAGCACAGTGACCATTGGCTTTCCAAGATAACCAAGGCCTGGGAAGAAGAACCCCTTTGTTTGATCTATTAGATGAGCAAGCAAGCAAGAAAGGGGTGCCATAGAATGTAATATCACGTTTTAAATCAGATTAGCATTTGCAAAAGGGCTATGGTATCCTCTGCAGAAGAGAGTGTCATGAGGAAATAAAATTATCTCCCTATGCAGATGTAGCTTCCAAGAAAAATGAAATGCATTCGGAGTGGGCTGTTGCCTTTCTACCATCTTTCATGTCAAATCTAGGTTATTGTAGGGGTGTTTTTTTCTTCAAATAAGAACTAGACAATACCTATTAAGAACAAGGAAAGTCCTCCCAAATCAGAGGGTCCTATAAGCACAAGTTAAATCACCCTTTACTTAGCTCATCCTTTAAGACCAATAACATTAAAGCACACATGACACAAAGAACACCTGATTGCTCTAGTTCCTCAGTGACTTTCTGCAACCAAAAACAGTGTAAGATGTCATAGGGCACAAGCAATCAAAATCCTTGAGCATGATGAATGTAAGTTTGTCAGTACCAAAGCAGGTCTTAACATGTTTTCTGAACAGTTTTCCTGTTGTGAAAATCTGGTCCCTTCAAAGAACAAAATACTTTTCAAACTGGTCACCACCACTAGGCACAATTACATATATGCTCGCTAATCACCTGGAGATCTGATTTAGCAGGTGTGATGTGGGACCAGGATTCTGAATTTCCAACAAACTTTCAAGGGATAGGCATGGAACTCCTTGCTTTCAATGAAACGCAAGACTTCACCTTCAACTGTCCCACCTGTCAGGTGTGTTTAAATTTCCGAAGGATTCCACTAATAACAACAGACAATGCTTAATGAGTCATTAGGTAATGTTCTAAGCACCTGACACATATTAACTCATTCAATTCTCCCAGAAACTCAATTATTATCACCTTGATTTTACAGGTAAGGAAACTGAGCCATAGAGTAATGAAGAAACTTTTCAAGGTCATGGTGCTTGTGAAGGAGCTAGGATTTGAATCCAGACAGCCTAATTAGAGAGTTTTAACAATAGTGGCTGCTCAGACTGACTCAATAAGATAAAGCAGATATTTGAGAGAGTTGGATGTTAAGAACAGAAGGGAGGTGAAACCAGGACCCTAGATGAGGTTTGGGAGGAAATGCAGAGCCCACTGAGGTGCACTGCTTCGGCATGGTCACCACCAGAGGGAATACATTAGTCAATTACACTGTAGAGCCAAGAGGGGGTTAAATTTCAACTGGGTCCCACTAAACAGATGTTTTCTGAGCACAGTTACAACAGCCTACAGGCTGTAGAACCCCTGTAAAATGTCTAGGTATGGGGATAGCAAAGACCCCTGGGACAGAGCTCATGTCCAAGGCATTGAGCTTGCTGCTACAATCGACTCCCTCCAGTGTCTGTCCTTTGACTCTGGTCCATTTGGGACAAAGGCAAGGACAGGGAAGGAGTAGGACAGAGCAGCACCTCGCACTCACAGCGCCCGGTGGAAAGACAGTGTCTTTGCAGCAAAAAAGAAAACGGAGAAGAGCCAAACGCATGGCGTGGGAAACGTGCTTCGAGTCCCAGGCCCTGAGCTTGGGCCCAGCCGGAAGTAGCCATTGTGCTGAGCCCAGGTGACTGGGGGAGCCCAGGACCAGCGGGAGTTTCGGTGGCGCTGTCCGAGGTGTCAGCGATGGCTTTTGGTACACTTTGCCACCCGCGGGGCAACGAGGCCGCTTTGTCTACTGCAGGGAAACAGGGTGCGCCTTCCTGGGGGGAGGGGGGCCTAAAAGGGGCGCAGCAAAGCGGCACCCGGTGGGTGGGAAATCTCAGAGAACTGCAGAAGGCGCGAGGGAGGGGACCCTCGCTGGGAGAGTATTGCTCTGAGGAGTTATTTGCAGCCGCAGCACGCAACACAATGAGATCTGACGGCTTTGTGCATCTCGCTGACAGGCGTGACTGCAAGAATCAGACCCCTCCCCCGCCCAAAGCCCCCACCTAGATATGTTCAACTCAGGCACTGTATGGACCGGGATCACTCTGTGGTAGTAGGAGGGAGAGGGGAGAACAGGGAGGAGGTGGAAGGGAGAAGCCTGGCCAGGGGTGGTTGTGGGAGGATGTGAACAGCAGCAGCAGGAAGCATATCTGCTTAGAGATGCTCCTTCGTTTCTAATGAGGGGTGCTGCCTAGAAGCCCCACGCGCCAGCCAATCATGAAGCTGCTGAAGCAGGGAACTGGGAAGGAAAAAGGGAAGACCAGAGACCAAGGTGGGGGTAGCAGGGAAATGCCCAGGCCCTGGGGGAAACAAGCTGCCTGCAGACTGATACCAAAGATGCCCCACAGCTTCAGCTGTCTCACTGCTGTACACCTGGAAGGTGGGGGTGGGGAGGAAGGAGTACAAGAGAAGGGGAGGAGCCTCCTTTGCAGGTGCATCCTTCCCCAGAAATGTACCTCCACAAGAACCAAAGTCCCTGCTTCTAAACCCACCCCCACATTTAACCCCACATCACTGGCTTGCTTCTTATAATCCTCTTGAACACCTCACCACCCTCAACTCCTAATGGCCTTGCCATGCATCCAAATTCTTAGTGCAGAGCAGGAAGTAAGATGCCTCACCAGCAGCCTACATTTGGTGCACTTGGTAAAACCTGCAAAGAAGCTCCTTTCTTGGCCTTTCACCCTGGCTCCACCACCACCAGAGATGCCCCATCAGCTCTTTGTGAAGACCAATCCCCCAGAGCTGCAGACAGATTGCTGACACACCTCTAGCCCTGGACTGATAAATTCAGGCCCAGCAGGTCTGTCTAGTTCTGGGTACTGGGAGAGCAACCAACTGAGCCACACATTAAAAGCTAGCACACCAAACCAGGACCAAAGAAAGGATAAGCACACCTTCTTGGTGAGAACTCCAACTTTGAGCTAATTTGGACTGTGATGACAGAGCTCACCTCCACTGAAAGCCACTTCACTTTTGGTGGAACTTAAACTTAGTCTCCAGAGTTAGCTGGGTCCCCAGCCAAAAGCCTGTTTTATGTATTCATTTGTCTATTTGTATGCATGGGTTTGGCTCTTGGAGTGTCTGAGCTGATAAATCCCCTCCTGGAGCCTCAACTTCCCTATTGGCAGACAGTGCAGGTGTCTCCCCAGCTGGTAGGCTAGGGGCAAAGGAACTAGCTTGAAGAGAGGAAAAGGGGGGAACTGGTTGTGAAAGAAAGCCCTGAGATTAGAGGTAACCCAAACCATGTAGAGTGCAGCTTGAGAAAGGACTGGGGGTTTGAGGGTGGCTGGGAATCAAAGCACAGCCCAGAATGGGGCAGGTACCACAATACCAGACACCCAGGGGTGCTAGAGAGTTCCACATGGAAAATAAATCAAAAACCAAAAGTCTTACCTTTGAAAAACACTAGTGCCCAAACAGGTCTCCAGAACACCATGCTTGCCCCTTAGATGCAAGGGAATGAGGTAGGGTGCACTTCAGCAAAGGGGCAAATTGGCACCAGGGGTGGGGGGGTAAATTCCATGCTAGGTGTCCCCCTTCGCCCGATGGAATGCAAGCGGGGAGAGGGGAGTCATAGTGGGCAAGAAAGGATATGGCCAATCGATGAGCTTCTTGGCATATTTCCTGACAATGTTATCTTCTCCGAAGATGAACAGGGATCTGTTGACGGTGAAACAGTTCTGCCGGACGGGAATGGGGTTGTACAAAGCCATAGTCCGCGCCCTCTGCGCTTTCGACTGCTTGTAGGCAGCTGCCGGCCCAGAGGCGGGTACAGGGGTTCCTTGTCGGTTCCTGCTCTGGTCCGAGTCTCCATCGCCTGACCCCGGCCTGCCGACGACCACTGCCTCCCCGAAGCGAGCCATCCTGAAGTTTAAACAGACAGAAGACACACAAAGGTGATCGCCGAACACCCGCACACAGCAACAAGCAGAAAAGACACAGGGAGACTCAGAGCCGCATCCACACAGGCGCAGGGACCACCGCCTCTGGGGACCCCGCGAGCTCTTCCGGAGACAGTAGCTGCAACCGGCTGCTCTGAACTGTTGAATCTAAACGCAACCTCTGCGAAGCTCCATTCCTCAGGAAAGAAAAAGAGGGGGGTAGGGTTTAGGGCTCTCAGTTTCTGGAGGCAATATTTTTCCCCAAAATGCCAGCGTGGGGTGGTGTTTAGGGACCGGAGAGGGGTGGAGCAGGTAGCTCCTCAAACATAGCTCCTCTTCTGGCCCAGGCACCACCTGGCTCAGGGAAAGGCAACTGATCCCGCTAGGTAACAGTTTGATGATTTATTGGCTGGGGTGAGGGGTAGAGAGGAAGAGAAAAATCAAAACAAAAGAACTTTGAAGAAAAACCGAGAAGAAAAAGACGAGGGCCAGTTACGGTGACATGCTTTAGGACGCCAGCCCCTGCAAGTCCATCTAAGAGATTCCACAGCCAAGACTTGAGTCTTTAAATCTGCCAGCAGAGACGCATCCAAAGGTTGGAGAGAGGGGGAAGGAGGGGGGGAAGCGGTATTGAGGTTCCTGCGTAAAATATAACGCCCAAAATATCGAGATAAGAAGTCGATCCTGCCGGAGAGGGGTAAATGACTTCACAGCTCCTGCGTTTGGGGTAGAAGTTAGCAGCATCCAGAGAGCAGCGAAGCCGGAGTGCCAGCATCCACCCAGTGCGCTCGCCGCCGCCGCCGCCACCTCCCCGGATCAGCATGCAACAGCGATCCGCGGCTGCGCCGGGGAGAGGGCGGGAGCGCGAGCAAGCGGGCGGGCGGCGAGCACTCAGGCAGCCAGAGAGGAACAGGTTGCAGTCAACCTAGTGCTGTCGGGGCATGGGAGTTATCCAAAGACAGAACTTCCTTGCTAATGACCCGCTCTTCCGCCTCCCCACCCGCCTGGCTACACGCAGTGTAGGGGATGCGAAAGGCACGGGGAAAGGCGAGCTGGGCAAGGTGAGCAAAGCGCAGCTGCGCAGCGAGGCGGTCCCAAGCCGAGAGGGATGCAGGGGACGGGGCGGGATGCGGGGATGCTCCAAGAGTCCAGAGCTCTGAGGCTGCTTTGGCTTATGGATTCATTTGACCACAGGGTAATGGACCACCTCAGCAAGGCTCCAAAGAAGAATCACCTTTCCCCCAAGTACTGCCCAGGAGAGGCAGGTTGCAGCTGGTGGTGCTGAGGTCTCTCCACAAAAGAGCTAGGGATCTGGAGATCTGGCATGGGAAGTACATGCACGCACCTGGGTCCTTGCTGAGAAGGGTACAAATGCTGTGCCTGGATCAAGGCCGTGGACCCTGTCCAGCCCGCTGCTGTGCTAGCTGAGAGTTCTGGACCCTGTGCATCCCTCACCAGGACCTACTGCTCTGGACCTCCCGGGCTCCACAAACACTACCGGGGGTTCCCAGGGTGAAGACAGCACCTTCTCTCCAAACCGGTACTTAACACGCTGTAGGCAAGATGAGGAGCTTTTGCCTCTGGAGGCTCTGATGGGAGGGGAGCCTCTGTCCTGCCAATTTTGAGGAAACTTCTAGAGAGGCCTCTTAGATTGGACTCTCAATGGAGCTCTCTGCCCCACCTCCTGGCAAGTGTTCCAAATATTCCAGGCCCCAGGTCTGGGCAAAATGACCCTGGAAAACCTAATGCAGAGATTCATCCCTCCCTCTGCTTTTTACTCTCAAATAAGGTCCACTGACTTTCCCCCCAGAAAGTAAAAACAGAATGAGTGTCTGAGCTGCAGAGGTAGGAAAGGCAAACTAAAAACCCCAGAGGAAAAAAAGGACCTTGTTTGGCAACCAAGTCCTTCTCCACAGGTGACTCGGTGGTTTGAACTGGGGACAGTGGTCAACTGTCTTCCTATTGTCCATATTAGCTGGGTCGTACTTTCTTCTGAGTATTCCTGCCTTACCTTCAGCATAGTGGTATCCAAGTCCTCCCCTGTGAGCAATGGAAGGGAAGAGGGAAAGGAGTAGCCAAGGACAGAAATAAAGGCTGGGCAAAGCCTGGAGGTTGAAAATGATGGGTGTAGTGCCACAGATGAGAAAGGCAGTATCTGTGTATGAGACTAATTGGTGATAAGCCAGGTGAAGTGTCCTCTGAGAGGCACATGTGTTTCTACTTGTATGTGTCTGTACGGGCAAGGCTATGTGAGCACTGGCACCTGTCTATTGTATGAGAACCTGAGTGTGAGTGTACATGCATGTGTGCATGTGAAAAATAATGCTCTCAGTACGGGAAACCCAAAGAAATGTTTTCAACATAGCTACTTCCTGCAGGGGCCATTACTTTCAGGGGCAGCATGCTGACCTTTGGATTCGGGGGCGCCCATTCTAACCAAATTACTGTTGGAAGTGTGTCAGCTCTAATTGTTATTACAGTCTCACTTTGCTCATATTCTGTGTCCTTTCTTTTAGATTAACTTGAGGATCCTCTTCTGTCTTAGTACCTAGTCAGAAGTGAAGGGGGCTAGGAATGACCATGATGTCACACCAAGGAGTCACTTAGATCCAGTCACAAGTGGCTGTCTCAGTAGCTCATAAACTTCACAGGATTAGAAAGGACTTTCAGAAATGATTGACTCCCTGCTCTCCAGGAGATACACAATCCATAACAAAAAATTCATTCAAAGCATTCATTTGACATTATTTTTGCATTCCTTCCCCATGACAAGGCACTGTCTTAGGCACTGATGATACAATAATGATCCATAGGCCATAGGGATGATGACAGAAAGGATGAATCTTCTTAGCTTAAATGAGATTGTGTAGGTAGCTTTACTGACTGGTCTCTTAGCTCTCACTTTAATGTGGAGACATCACCCCTTTGCTACTTTCCTGGGTATGCCTTGATACCTATTTGAATTCTCTAGAGACATAGAATACTGGACAAGATAATATAAAAGGAGGTGTGAGGACTCCGGGGGCTGAACCCTGCATTCCCAAGGGGCAAGCTTTACAAATGCGTGGACAGAGTTTACCAGAGAATAAAAACCGCTTGGTAGGAGAATTAAGAGGGATTCTTGAAGAAGCAACACAAGAGGACTAGGGCAAATATTATGGCATCAGTAGTTTGGGGAAGGGACCTGGCTTAAGGGTGGCAATGCTAGAAGGAAGGCACATTCCTCTCTCTTTCACCCCCTACCTGGCTATCACAGCTTTTGAAAGCTTTGAGGCCTATTAATTTCTATACTGTCTTCATACTCTCTATTTCCCCATTTTCCAATTTGTTAGGCAGATGCAATTTTAAAGATTAAACCACTGTATATGTGATTAATATGGTTGTTGATTTATATAAACCCTACAGCTGGCCACCACTTTGAACTTCTGAGGTCAGCCCAGCAGCACATGTGTTATGACCCCTATACACACAAAGCAGGAGCACGTCAGAAACATGATGCTATTGGTCCAGAGCTGATAAGTGGCAGAGTGTGGCCTTCCAGTGGATCTAATTTTCAGTTTCTATTGCCCATGCTGCATAATTCCACACTGTACATCATTCATAGAAGAAGCTCCACAATGATGCTTAGCCTATGGAAATGTTGTGCCTCCTATCCTAAAGTTGAATTCGATCAGTGCCCAAATACTCTGTGCACCGTGCTGGAAGGAACATAACTACTGCTGTCAAGAGATATCAGATCACTGTCTTAATGGTCCTTATAAGGGAACCTGTTAAGCATTTTTCTTCTAGTGCCTGCAGTTCTTTTGTTCTCTTCTAAAGACCCACAAATGGAACCACAGGAAATCAGCAACTAGTCCAAACTCTGGAAATCGGTTTAAAGACCATGGGAAAATCCCTTTCTCTGCCTGGGAGAGACAGAAGCCCTGTTTCCTTTTTGTTGGAGCACCATCTACTGGTCATTTGTGAGACATGATTGTGAACACTGGTAATAGCGATCCAGCCAGCACCCCAGGCACCACACTTCATACATAGCTCAGACATTCCTAACATTTGACCTCCGGTCACCAGTTCTACATCCTATTCCCTGTGGGGCTTTGTTGAGATCCAAGTCCTAAATTTTACAGTGTAAGCAGTTCACCTCATAGGACCTGAGAAATTCAGACCCACCACTGAACACAAGGTTACCAACACACACACACACACACACACACACACACATGCACGCACGCACGCACACACACACAGAGTAAGATGTGGCAGCCAAATGTTCTATATGCTGCTATCTTTATACATGTTATATATGAGCTTCAGACTAAGAATCCATCAGGAGCAAAGAAAATGAAAAATCTTCCCTAGATTATGGATCATGTACAAATTATTAAATTTCAAAACCTGTATCCTGTAGCTGCAATATTCCTATGAACTGTCCAAGAGTCAATCAACAATAACAGAGACCAGTGGGTAGCCCATTCATCATCTTCTGCGAAAGGAAGGAAACAAGGCTATCAATGGTATCCCCAGACCAGTAAGGCCATGGGAGCTTGTGTTAAAATGATCTGTATGAGTGGTAAGATTGGAGAATGTGTTCCCTCATTCATAAAGCTCTTTCCAGACCTGATAGGCCTTGGGCCATCTTCATGTGAGATCTTAGCTCATCATTGAGGAATCTGCAAATCTGGGCCTTGGCCAAAGGCATGTGCCCCTCCCACCAGTCCCTGCCCTGCCAATTACACTCAGATAGCTTATGCTTAAACTATCAAAGCCCCTTTTGTTCTATTTTCCCCCTATTGAGCTTTTCCAAGAAATAGACTCTTATGCAAAATAGTGCTCTAAGGAACATAATGCAGAGAGGATTTGGGAGTGGGTTCTTAAGACAAAAGTTGGCAGGAAACCATGTGCAAATGCATAGCAGAGCAGAAGAGCAGGGTGGTGATGCAGACATCTTGGGAGGCTGCTGGCATTCACAGCACCACACAGCCCTGA